AGATGGGTGAGGTAGAGATACTGAACTCAAATTTAATGAGTGCAGATGCAAAATTCTTAATTTAGGAAAAATAATTCAAAGGTATTGGGATACATTGGGCAACATTTGTGTAAAAGGTATCTTAGAACAGTATTTGATAGCATGTATGAAATGGCTAGAAAAAAGATGAACACAATTTTACTTTGTAGAAGAATTCAGCTTGGATATTTCAGGGGGGAAAAAACTAAGTCACCTTGATTGCAGGTTTGAGTTTGAACACAGGATCAGTTTAGGGCATTGCATTTTAGAGAAACCAGGACAGGGGACCAAATACCCTTATGGCTTATTTTGAGTCTTGAAACAAGATGAGTAGAAGGGAAAATATGTTCCATGACATACAAATAACAGAATAATAGAGTTGGAAGGGACCCCGGAAGGTCTTCTAGTCCAGGGCTATTCAACCTTTTCACCCATTGTGCCACTTTTAGGATATGGCAATATTCAAATACCACCAGTCGCCTAGCAAGATGTCAAAAACTTGATGACCAAAAAAAAAAAAAAAGGGAAAAAGTGATAAAGTACAGGTAATCCTCGATTTATAACAGTTTGCTTAGTGACTGTTTCAAGTTACAACAGCACTGAAAAAAGTGACTTATGAGCATTTTTCACACTTATGATCATTGCAGCATCCGCAGGGTCATGTGATTTACATTCGGATGTTTAGCAACTGATTCATATTTCTGATGGTCACAGTGTCCCAGGGTTATGTGATCTTTGCAACCTTTGGACAAGCAAAGTCAATGGTCCATTGGAGGAGCCTCGAAGTCCCTCTTGGGCTACACTGGGGGACTCCTGGACATAGGCGTGGGCTGCCCGGAGCCCTGGGGAGTGGAGGGCAAGCACCCAGCCTGGTCCTCAAGCTCCCAGGGCACCAGGACCCCTCAGCCCAACCCAGTCCAGCCCCACTTCCCCGAGGTGGTGCCCGGCTGCGCTTACCTCCTCCTTGAGGCTGCTGCTGCTATGCTCACTCTCCTTGGCCAGGTTGCTCATGGTGGGTGGAGGAGGGCAAAGTGTGTGGGTCAGAGGGAGGCCCACTCCCTCTCCATGTGAGAAGATCTGGCTTTGTAACCAAGGCATCCTTAGCGATAGAATGGGAGACTATCAGATTAGGCCAAGAGGAGGGGACAAGGGCAGCAGGGCTGCTGGTGGCCAAGTGCTAAGGCAGGACTTCCCTCAGACCCTCCCTCCCTCTTATTCCAATCTCCTTCCTTCCTTCCTTCCTTCCTTCCTTCCTTCCTTCCTTCCTTCCTTCCTTCCTTCCCTCCCTCCCTCCTTCCCTTTTTCTCACTCCCATCTCCGTCCTTCCTTCCACCCTCTCTCCCTCCCTTCCTACCTCCCTTCGTGCCCAAGAAGGGACAAGGGGAGAGGGAGAGGTTGCCTGCATGGCCAGTGGCCGTGCCGCCAGTGGGCATGGCTTGAAAGGCCACTGTAAGTTCCTGGACAAGAGCCGCACAGCCTTAAGAGCAGGGTGGCGGGAAGATTTTTGTGATGAGGGAGAAAAATAGGCAAGAAACGCAGCTGGGGAAGTGTCACCCTCCCTGAGGAATGAGGAAAGGCAGCGTCCCTGGGATGGGCGAGGCAAAGCTGGCGATAAGCCAAACCTGCCTGGGTACACACACAGGAGGCAGCGCCCCTGTGGGGCCTGGTTCCCAGGTGAAAGGGAAGCACTCAGAATGCAGTCAGCCTGCGGGGGCAGGATGGTCACCCGGGACGTCACCAGGTCCCGCCCGCTTGCTGCCTCCTGTGTGCACGCCCAGGTAGCTTCAGCTTCTTGCCAGTTTTGTCTGGTGCAGCCTCTCTGCGCTGTGAGGAGCGTGCCTCACTGCCTGCCGAAACTGGGCAGGCTGGGGGCTGGGTGCTATTGTGCAGGTAATGTGACCTTTCATGCCGCTCGTGGCATCCCCTCTCCCGGAGCCCACACAGCCAGATGTGTGAAGCGAGTGAGGGCCAATTGTTGGTCACCTCCAGCCGATGGTGACTTTCTTCATTCCTCGTGCAGGGCAACCCCTCCCCAGCTGCCACCTGTGTGCGCACTCGGTACGGATGGCTGTCACGAAGTTGTAGATCAGCTCCTGGCCTGCCTGTTTTATCTCCTTTCCTCTCTTCCCCCCCTCCTCCTTTTCTCTTTGGTGCAACTCCAGCTGAGTCCTCCTTTGAAGGCTGCATCTTTTTTCTCTCTCCCTCTCCCACCAAAACTGTTTCCTTTTATACCCTCTCCTGTTTCCGCCCCTTCTTCCTTTGTCTTCTGGGTGTGCCCGAAGTGCCGACCCTGGGGGCTCTGTCTCACCCCAGCAGCCCTGCAGCTCCTGAGGAGTCTCTCACAGCAAGTCCTGCGCTGCACTGCTTTAGCTCGTTCCCTTCCCCTGCTACACTTCGCTAGGCTAGGCAGCGTTGCGTACCACCTGCCAGGTGCCGATGTACCACCAGTGGTACACGTACCACCAGTTGAAAAGCCCTAGTCCAGCCCCCTGCTCAGGCAGGAATATGATAGACCTGAATGGCTAAAAGGTGTATCATACAGGAGAAGGTTGAGTCCTGTTCCCTAATCTGTCATAATTCAGAATACAGAATAATGCTCTTCTACTACAGGAAGGCAGATCAGGGTGGAATGCTAGGAAAAGTGTGGTGGAATCTCCAGTAGTGTGTTGGGGGGGGGGAGATTTCAAGAGGGGGCCGAGCTTAGAGTCCTTAGTGTCAACTATCCAGTTGGTGAATCCAGAAAAAGAAACTCCTGGGACATTATTTTACCAAGAGTATAAAACTTTACTGAATAAAACACATTGGCACAGAAGAAGCAAAACCAGCTCTGGGCTTCCTGCGCAAAAGCTAGCATTGTTCATTCCCCCTTTCCCCACGGGCCACCCGCAGCCCATTACGTCCGCCAACCACTTCTGTTCATTTTGTTATGGGAACCAGCTGACCACACTGAGTCATCTGCTTGGGGTGTCCTTGAGGTGGGAGCAATGTCTCACGGGAACCGATGATGTTTGGATGCCATTCCCCCCCTTGCATTCCACCCCCTCCCTTTTCTTTGTCAAGCGGAATACAGGTGAAAGTGTGAGTCACCTTGCATAGCAGAAAGTGGCACAGGCCGGACACCCCCCCCCAGATCCTGATGCTTCACCTGACCCTTCCCAAGAGAATGCAGTCAATCTGGTGCAATTCTTGTAAATAGGCAGTGCAGCAATAAAGAAGTGTCATGCTGCCAAGATGCACGTCCCCACCCCTTTGTGCATGGGTCATAGCAGCATATAGATACCCATATATACACAGGGCCAAAGCCCGCAGACCCCCAGGGGACTAAGTTACAGGAAGAGAGCATCAAATCCAGTATGGCCAAGAGCATTCAAACTGGGAAGAGCAGGGCTAAGATGGGAGGGGGGAATCCGTCTTTTCCTCATTCTAGGGGTCACCAGGAGCAGATCCTGTTGGGAATTCAGCCAGTTCTCCCATTAAAGGCTATTAGGTTGTACTTTTCAGACAAGCACAAGTGTGTTTTGCTTCAAGTCTATACGTGTACTCGTGGTTTTGGTTCTCCCCCATAGGATGATCACTCTCAAAGAGTCTGACATTTCTAAAGTTCAGTTGTTTGAATGATCTGAACTGAAAAGCAAATACAAATTGGCAGAAACTCGCAACCCTGCCCTGCTATGGGCTCAGGGACTAATTGGTTCTGGGTTTATCTGCTGCTGACACTGAGTGTGAAAAGAAAGGATGGGGCAGAATTCTCCAGCTGCTGAATTAAGATCTCTAGGACGCCATGGTTGCAATTTATGTCACCAGACATTCCGGCCAAATCTAGGCCAGAAGGGAAGCGCATGAAAGCAGCTGCCTGAAGAGTCCTCTCATCCCACAACCTCCAGAACACACAGACACACACACACACACACACACACACACTGTCTCCGTCTCTCTCTCCCTCCCTGTGCACTTGTGCCTGTGTAAGTGCACACAGCTTCCTTGGGCCTCTGGGTTGATTTTTTGTATGTTAGCTCCCACTTCACATTGTAGTTCAAGAGGTAATTTGAGAGAGCAGCACTTTCACTAGAATGACTCTTGAATGACTCAAGACAAGGCAAAAGATCCTTCCTGTCTCTGTAAAGCAGTGCTTACCTGGCTGGGGAATTCTGGGAGTTGAAGTCCACCCACCTTCATGTTGCCCTGGTTGAGAAAAGGTACTGTAACCACTTCCAGCACCTTGGAACATGCGCATGGTCCCTTCCCGGGATTCATCCCGTGCTCGTCTCATCAAGCAATAGTTCATAGTAAATAAAACCAGCAGGCTGGGGATGATATGCCTCCTTAACTGCTGCTGCCTTTTCTGGAAGAGTAAGTTTGGCAGATTTTTTTTGGCTAGGGTGTTTTTTGGGGGGAGGGGGGATGCTCAGAGATTTAAGCAAAGGCACTTAGTTGAAGCCAGTTCTTGGCCTGGGGGGGGGGGGGTAGATTGTGGCTTTTGAAAAAGCTGGATCAAAGCTATGACCCAATTGTAGACTGATGGGATTTATAGTGCGGTCTTGGATTAAGTTCTTCCTGATTCCCAAATTCTTCGTAGGAAAGGAGGGGAGCCCCCCCTCCCACAAGGCGACGTGCAAATCCTCTGCCCACAAAATGGTTAGAAGCAGCAGCCCCCCCCACCTCCCCCTTCGTTCCAGCATCCCTCCTGGGGCATTTCTGCTGCCCCCACCTGTCTCTGAGCTCTTTATTGACGCTGGTGTGACTTGCTTCAAGCTGCGGACAAAGACCACAAACAATTCCTCACCGGGGCTCGCATGCAAATGCTGGAAAGAGAGGAGGGGGGAGCCAGCCCCTGAAGGAGATTGGTTTGCCAGATGGGCGGATAAGCAGCTCCCAGCAAAGGCTCTCGAACGGTTTCCTTGCAACTAACATTTTTTTCTCTCGCGCGCTCTCGCTCCCCTCCCCTCCGCACCTCCCCCCCCCCGCCGTATCTGGGATTGGAAAGAAGCGGCAAAGAATCCTACTCCGCTCCTGTTGCTCAGCATAAACATCGGCGCAGCCTGCAAATTACACCTAAGGCAGAGCGGGCGTCCACCGTCCAGCGCAGCCTGGCTTCCGCGGAGAAGGACTCGCTTGCCTCCTAGCCTTTCCTTCTTCATTCGGGGCTTTGATTGCTGGGTAAACTAACCAGCCTGGAGGAACTGAAAGCAAACTCCACACTTTTGAAGACCTCTCGGGAGAGAGGAAGCAGACAAATCGAGTGGAAATAAAAACCAGACAGTAACTCTAGAAACTTCAGAGGAAGGAAACCATCTCCATTTCAGGCCGGATCTGAAAAATCTGAGGAACGTTCGGTCCAGGGCGGGCACTAAAAGGAGAGAAGCTGAAAGAAGGGGGACATCCCTCCAGGTCCCCGGGATTCTGGAGAGAGAGAAGAAAACTTTTCTGTTGCTTTTTCTTCTCCCGGCTATGAACAGGCTCCCTTCTCCACATGTCTCCAAATCATCCCGTTGGGTGGGGAGACCCAACAGTACCAACTCCACCCTCTTTCCACTCCACAATCGATCCTCCTTCCACGAGGACCTGGATGTAAACCACACAGGAGATTTCGAGAGCGACACAGGTTACAAAGAGGAATCGCAGAGCCAGATGATTAAAGGGCTCCTGATTGTGGCTTATTTGGTCATTATTTGCATCTCGCTTCTTGGCAATGTCGTGGTGTGCCACGTGGTGGTCAAGAACAAGAGGATGCACTCAGCCACAAGCCTTTTCATGCTCAACTTGGCTGCAGTTGATGTCACGATCACCCTCCTGAACACGCCCTTCACCCTGGTAAGCAGCCCTGGTCCTACAATTGCCTTCTTAGAGAGGGCCCCAATGCGGACTCCTCCACTGTGAGAGCGGTCGATCGGGCCTGTTGCTGGGGCTCAGGGTTCCCCAGGGAAAAGTCTCCAGTGGATTTGGGGTCCTTCCTTCCTTTTTGCCCAAGGCGCTAGGATTGAAAGATTGGGAAAGCATATCCCCTCTGAAAAGGTGTTTCCTTTGCCAAATGTCTTCGTAGAACAGGAGATGTGAGATCTGAAAAGATGCAGCCTTGAGACCTCTCCCCTCTAACAGAAGCCAGGCAGCGAACACACCTTCCCTTGATGTTACAGCAACCTTCCCCGGCCTTTCTGGCTTTGAGGACGGAGTGGGGGGGGGGAGGAGAGGGGACGATTCCACACAAGCAACAGGTAGGTCCATTTGCGAGAGCGGCAGGCACGTGCATCAGCTGCTCGCGCCTGCCGCTTGCCCAAATGGGGCTGCGCACACGTGTGCTCGCCTGCTGCTCGCCCAAGTGCAACTGCGTACACACGTGTACAGGGTGGATAATGATGATTTTTTAAATTTAAATCGGATTTTTTTGATTTTTATCAAATTTATTTTAATAAAATGCTTTTGGAGTAAAAATCTATCTAAATATAGTTTTCTATTTAAGATACATTAATAATTTGGTTTATTCGGCATGAAATGGAGCTTAGTTATATAGCATGAGGCTGTATATTCTGCAATATTTACATTTTTGGTAAACTCATTCAATGAATCCAAGCTTTGTAAGCTGAGATAACATGCACTGCATTGATGCATTCACAGAATTTCACAGTGACCAGGAGATAAATCATAAAACAAAGTTCAGAAATATTATTTTATGCCATTGTTCTGCAAATCTATATAACCATATCCAAGCACTCCGAATTTGTTGGCAACGTCCATTTTGCTGTATGAATTCATGGTGACTTAACCCTAACCCTAAGTGGAACTTTCCTCCAATGGGATTTTCCCATGTATTTTACCAGGAAACATAGATAGGGCAGCCTAGAAAGGTCAGTGCCCTCCTAATCATACCCAAGCACTCTGAATTTGTTGGTGATGTCCATTTTGCTCTATGAGTTCATGGTGACCTAACCCTAAACCTAAATGGAATTTTCCTCCAGTGGGATTTTTCCATGTATTTTACCAGGAAAATAGATAGGGTAGCCCAGAAAAGTCAGTGCCCTCCTAACCATACCCAGCACTCCGAATTTTTTGATGATGTCCATTTTGCTCTCTGAGTTCATGGTGACGTAACCCTAGCCCTAAGTCCATGGTGGCGAACCTATGGGACGCATGCCATAGGTGGCATGCAAAGCCCTCTCTGTGGGCACTTGTGCTGTCCTAGTGGGCACTTGTGCTGTCCTAGTCCTTCAGCTGGGTTTTATAAAACCTTTTCGCTTTAGGCCTCCGCCGCTGTGTGCAAAAAAAAAAAAGGTTCGATCAATCAATCAATTTCAATTTCTCACGGAAAAAAAAAATCTCGCAAAGTTGGAATTGATTGATTGAACTTTTTAGTTCCACCCAGTCTGCCGTTACCACCGCAGCCACAAGCACCCAATGGGCCATGCCCATCCAATTGGCCACGCCCATCCAATTGGCCACGCCCACCCAGCACCCGACGATACATAAGTGGGTTTTGGGTTGCAGTTTGGGCACTTGGTCTCTAAAACAGTGGTTCTCAACTTTTTTAATGCCGCGACCCCCAACCGGTCGTAAGTCAAGGACTACTCAACCGGTCGTAAGTCGAGGACTACTCAACTGGTGCAGCACCGTTTGTAGAATGGGACTTTTGGCGGGCTCAGCAGGGCAGAGACAGCCTGGACAATTCCTATTGGCTTTTGAAAGCCAATAGAATTAGACTCTATTCAAGAGAGTCTATTCTATTGGCTTTCAAAAGCCAATAGAATAAAAGGGAGTAGCACAGCTAAGGAAAAGGGGGGAAAAAATGGCAGACTGCATTTGGCGACCCCCATGAAATGGTCGTTCGACCCCAAATGGGGTCCCGACCCACAGGTTGAGAACCATTGCTCTAAAAGGTTCGCCATCATTGTCCTACACACTTGGAAATCATTAGGCTGTGTAAGGCTGCTCCAGACATGTTCTTTGCAGACATTGTGCCATCTGAAGCCATTCTAGAAACATCCCCCCCCCCCATGGAATTCTCCTTCCACTCCCTGCCCCAATCAAAAACTCCCCAGCACCTTGGGATGCAGTCTTGCTCCTTCTTGTGAGGGCTTTCATGGCGACTTGAGTAAGGTTGGTGGCCTTTGCCTGGACCCATCTGAGCACTGCAAGTTGACAGGGCATCCAAAACACGTCATGAGCCTTTCCTTCTAGACCAGGGGTGTCAAAGTCATGGTGAAATCGCACCCACCCCGTTGCCAGCAATGGAAAAAAAGTTGTGATATTTCGCGACACATCACGTGACGTTGCGAGTTTGACACCCCTGTTCTAGACATTTGAGTTTGTCACTTGAATAGCTGTAACAACAGCTTATGAAGTCTGGGTGGTTGGGTTCACACCCAATGTCCAGGTGCACAACTTGCTTTGCTCACAGGCAATGCATTCTTCACTAAGGTCTGAGCCACATTACCTGTGATCAGTCAACGTTCAGTCAATATTACAAGCTACCCATTTTAGCTGAGTCTAGTTAATTCAGCGAGCAGTTGATTTTAGAAGTTCAGCTGCTCTCTCCCAGCCTAACATATCCAATCAGTCTGTTGTGAGAAGAGTGTAACATGGGGGTGCCCCACCCCTGGGCTGTGCCCCAGTACCGGTCTGTGGCCCCTTTGGAACCGGCCACAGAAATGGCGGGCAAGCCTGTGTGCACACAGCTGCACTTGTGCGAGCAGTGGGTAAACACACACCCATGCACAGTTCCGTTTGTGCAATCAACAGGCAGCGAGCAGCTGATGTGCATGCCTGCCGCTCGCTCAAATGGAACTACATGTGTGCCTGCTGCTTGCATGGAACCGTCCCCTCTCCTCCCCTCATCCTGCCGATCCGCCCCGATCCGCAAAGTTTGGTGAAGGCTGCTGTAACATCAAGGGAAGGTGTGTGCGCTGCCTGGCTTCTGTTGGAGGAGAGACATGGAATAAGCCTGAGCTGAGCCTGCATTAGGCCTGATTCTAGACCCAGCCTAACTTTCTCTTCTAGGTGCGATTTGTCAGCAGCACCTGGCCTTTTGGAAAACCGATGTGCCATATAAGTCGCTTGGTCCAGTATTGCTCCGTCCACATGTCCGCACTGACCTTTGCTGCCATTGCTCTGGACCGCCATCAGGTAAGGGCCCCTCTAGATTCTCTTTTGGGAACTATTTTAAAAATCTCTATTATATTTGTTTCAATTTTTCAAAAACCTCCTGATAGATAAGCCTCGACATACAACCCTTCTTTTGGTGACCTTTCAAAGTTACAACAGCACTGAGAAAAGCAACTTGTGACTGTTTTTCACACTTACGACCATTGCAGCCTCCCCGTGGTCACGTGATCAAAGTTTGGACGCTTGGCAAACGGCTCCAATTTACGACGGTCGCAGCGTCCCGGCAGGTCACGTGATCCCCTTTTGCGACCTTCTGACAAGCAAAGTCAATGGGGAAAACAGATTCATTTAACAACCGAGTTACTAACTTTACAAGTGCAGTGATTCACTTAACAACTGTGGCAAGAAAGGTCATAAAATGAGGCAAAACTCACTTAGCAACTGTCTTGCTTAGCAACAGACATTTTGGGCCCAATTGTGGTTGTAAGTCGAAAACTACTTATAATACATCCTTTAAAACAGGGGTCCCAACCTCCGGTCCGTGGACCAGCATGCCCCAAACCGGTCTGCGCAAACAAGCAAAGCCCCATGTTTCAGCATGTGAAACCAGCCCCCCTCCCATCTGCAGAAAACCTCTCTCCGCGGAACCGGTCCCTGGTGCCCAAAGGTTGGGGGCCCCTGCTTTAAAAACTATCTATAATGTAAAAATTAAGCAGCAGTGTAATAATGTACCTATATTATTATTGTACAATTAAAAAATGTAGCTTAGAATAGGTACATACTCTCTCTATTTTTCATGTGTGTATGTGTTATTTATATTGGAGAAAGAAAAAAAGAAATGACTCTATTAGACTACGTACGAAAAAAACCAGAACGGAATTAAAAAAGAAAACCTCTCCCAAATGTTAAAAAAAAGTTCCATGCTAGAACTAAAAGTTAAAACATTTGAACGATACATCAGGGAGGGAGGGAGGGAGGGAGGGAGGAAGGAAGGAAGGAAGGATCTAGAATAACTGTCTTCAATTTTGGGGTGACTTTAAACCCTTTTTGATCCGAGGCCAAGCAGAATCGTATTTCCTGATCTTGCCTCTTTATTGGTCCAGAACTCAAACTCTCGTTCCTAGCTGGAATAAGGCATCCCACATCAGATACCGGGAGAGGCTGATTATTAGTGGAAGTCAATTCACCAAGATTGAAATGAACTTGCCCTGAAGAGCTGACTATCAAGGTTCCCAGGGGCACCCAAAGGGCATCCAAAAGGTCAAGCTCACACACACTACTGTGAACCATAGAGATCCCTTTTGAGCTATCTCCTTGGCCGGTTGTGTGCTTGAGGAGACTTCAGCCTGCTTGACTCTGACTCTTTTTAGGTCATCATGCATCCCTTGAAGCCCCGAATGTCTCTGGGGAAAGGAGCGCTGCGCATCCTGATCATCTGGCTGACGGCCACTTGCTTCTCTCTGCCCTACGCCATCTACCAGAACCTCGTGAGGCTGCCTTATGGGTAAGGTTGATCAAGGTCGCCAAGGACCGCCAAGGGGGAAAATAAGGCCTCGTCTCCTCCATCACTCCGAACATCAGAAATGATGATCGACCAATGCCACAAGGATTGCGGAGAGATCAAAATCTCATTCATGATCGAAACCTTCTCCCTTTGGTATGCAATGCGCCTGCACGTTCCACAGGGGAGAGGCTTGTGCTGTGATACTGCACTAGCCTTTGTGCAGATTTTGATACACACCCTTCTGACATGCCTGTCACGCACATGAGTCTGTGTTGGTATTTCCTAGTGTGCATGTGCTATATGTGTAGATGAGAGCCACTTTGGTGTAGAGATTAAGCACCAGGCAAGAAACCAGGAAACCCTGAGATCTGGTCCTGCTTTAGGCACGAAGCCAGCTGGGTGACCTTGGGCCAGTCACTCTCTCTCAGCCCCAAGAAGAAGGCGTGGGCAAACCATTTGTGAAAATCTTTTGAAGAAAACTTCAGAGAGGAGTCCAGGTGTTTCCTAAGAGTCAAGACTGACTCAAAGGCACAAACACATACACAGTATGTGTATATATTTAATTTTCCATAAAACATCTTGAAGGGTTTAATAGTCAAAATTAAATCCAATCATGTTTTAAAAAGTAACATATTAATGGTGGAAAAATAAATGCAAAGCCTGCATTACTATTCACTCTTCATTGCTTCATGTTTGGTAAGTATATATTCAAAATAATTTGGAAGTGAACACAATTGCCCATCCCCTATTTCTAAAGAGGTAACATAATTGCCTCTCCCCTTTTTTCAAGCTTTTACACAAACCTGAATGAAGATGATCCTGCTTTAAGGAATTTAGTTATAAAAGATTCTTTCAGGGTAGCTTTTTCTCCCAGGCTCCTGCTGTGTTCGCGCAAGATCAAAAAGCATTTCTTCCAAATACTCAAAAAACATGTATGGCTCTCCTTTTATCCTGACAGATTCCAAGCTGAGATCCAATCAATAAAAAAATGTTAAAAAATTAGACAATACAATTAACTGTTTGACTCATTGACTGAAAGAAGGTATGACTGACAATTGAAAAAATAATTTCATCTAAGTACTAGTATCCTTGTTTTAACAAATTGCATGTGTCTCTATTAACTTCCTCCACCAAATAATTTTGGCCAAAATCCTTACAAAACAATATTTTTGCACTTGCACCTAAAGTTACTCTCAGTGACTTGCCTGATTAGTTTGAATGGTGAGCTGACAAAAGATGAGTGGTAGAGTATTGTCTGTCCTCTTTCAAACAGAAAATGAGAGAAGATATAAAGACTTAATCACCTCCACTTTGTGCAGGAATGGACCTTCCAAGGTGCAGCTTCTTCCACTAAAACTTGTTTTCTCTTCTTCCATGTTCCAGAAATAGGACTACCCGGATGATGTGCCTTTCCAGTTTCCCTCCTCCGACAGATCTCTACTGGAAGTACTTGGACTTGGCCACTTTTGTGCTTCTGTATGTTCTGCCTTTGTCAGTGATCTCCGTCACTTACATATCGGTGGCCAAGAAAGTCTGGATGAGGAACGCCATTGGCGATGTGACCGTGGATCAGTACTATGCCCATCAGCGGAAAAAGAAGATGACCCTGAAGATGTTGCTGGTGGTCGTGATGGTGTTTGGTTTCTGCTGGTTTCCCCTGAATTGCTACTTGATCCTCATGTCCAGCCAAGCCATCGATAACAGCGATATTCTTTACATTGCTTTCCATTGGATAGCCATGAGCAGCGCCTGCTACAACCCCTTCATGTACTGCTGGCTCAACGAAGGTTTCCGCACAGAACTCAGGGCCCTGCTGGGAATGTGCCGTAAGAAGCCTGCCTCCAGCAATCAGCCCATGCAGTCCATATAGGCCGAGTTGAGACTCGCCTGGGGTGGCAATTATTGCTACAAGCAAGAGGCCCCCACTCAGCAGACAAGGGAGTCGTCTCTGCCCAGACAGACACCTCTGTTGTCAATCTGATCACAACAGGCAGCGAGGAGGAGACTTGAATGTGGAATAAAACAGCCTTACTCTGGTTTAGTAACCGTTTTGTAGTTGTGTCATCTACTGTCCAGGCCTTTGCAACATCCACATTGCGTGCTTTCTGACAAGAACTTACCACATCAGCATTATATGAGTGGACATCACTTTAGGTTGCTGCTTTCCATGAGTGGTGGAAGAAACTGCAGCCCAAAAGCCTTGGTGTCCGTGTTGATACCTTCACTGTCTGAAGCTGGAGCCCAACCCAAGTGTTGAATGCAGTGCTTCTCAAGCCTGGCACTTTGCGATACATGGACTTCAACTCTCAGAATTTCTCCAGCCAGCACGGAGATGTCCACGTATCTTAAAGTGGCCAAAGTTGAGAAATACTGGTTTTAACAAGTCATTATTTTGAAATAAAATAACTTGCAGACAAAAACAGTGTTTAACCCCCGGCTGGGGGTACATTTCATAGCTCCTGCTTTGCAGAAAAAAGGAGGTGTAGTTATTTATGTGAGAAAGGAGCTTTCACCGAAACTAATTGATTTTGATCCACAAGGAAGATATGTCATTATTGATTTATTAATAAATGATAAGAGAACTCTTCTTGTTGGATTATATGCTCCCAATCAACAACAAAAATATTTCTACAAGATGATTCACCAGAAATTAATTTCTTTGGATTACAGGTCAGTTATTAGGATGGGAGATTGGAATGGTGTTTTAGATTCAAGTAAAGATAAGAAAGGTCCCTTTAAAGTTTCTAACCATGCAAGACTTCCTAAAGTTTTTTTTGACTTAAAGGATGATTTGGAACTTAGAGACATTTGGAGAGAACGGAACATTGAAGAAAAAGATTTTACTTTTTTCTCAGATAGGCACCAATCTTATTCTAGAATTGACTTTTTTTTAGTTACTAATGATTTCTTTTCTAGGGCGAAAAATACCAAGATATTTCCTAGAATAATTTCAGATCATAGTCCTGTATGGTTGGAAATTTCGCTGGAAGAAGGGATTAGAAGGTCTTGGAGGTTGAACGGGAATTTATTTAGATATGAAGAGAATATACAGAGATGTAGAGGTTATTTAAAGGAATTTTTTGCTTGGAACATGAATAAGGGTACCTCGATGCCAATGGTATGGGATTCTAGTAAAGCATATATGAGAGGGATTTTGATTTCTATGAATAATGCTCATAGACGTAAACAGATTCAGAAACGTAAAGAGTTGGAAGATGAGATTAAATGTAAGGAAAAGATTTTGATATCAAACCCAATGGATAATAACTTAAAGGTTTCTATATCTCTGCTTAAGGAGCAATTTAATATGTTAATAGCGGATCAGATGGCAACTAATTTGAGGTATATGAAACACAATACATTTTGTAATGCAAATAAACCTGGTAGATGGTTGGCTTATCAATTACGTAAGAAACAGAAATCAAGGACTATAGATAAAATAATTTATAAAGGTAAAGAAGTGTATCAACAAAATTTGATTAAAAAGACTTTTTTAGATTTTTATTCAAAGTTATACGCTAGTGAAACTATACAAATTTCAGACATAGAAAAATATTTACAGGAAGCACATTTTCTTAGACTTACGATTGACCAACGTGATGGGATTAATGGCTTAATTACTTCTGAAGAGATTATTTCTGCAATTAAACAATTGAAGGTTGGCAAGACTCCAGGTACTGATGGACTAACAGCAATTTATTATAAGATGCTATCTGAAGAAATGATAGAACCATTAAAGGAACTTTTTAATGACATTTTGTTGGGAGCAGAGCTACCTCCATCTTGAGAAGGGTCTTCATATCATTGATTCCAAAGGAAGACCAGGATCTGTCCCAACCTAGAAATTATAGGCCTATATCTCTTTTAAATACAGATTATAAGATTTTTGCAAAGATACTGGCAAACAGATTAATGCAGGTTTTGAAACAATTGATTCATACTGACCAATCTGGATTTATAATGGGAAGATATATGAAAAATAATGTAAGATAAATTGTTAATTTAATAGAGTATTTGGATAAGAACAACCAAATCCCTGCTGCTTTAATATTTATAGATGCTGAGAAAGCTTTTGATCAATTAGACTGGAAATTTTTATTGAAAGTCGTAGAGGAAATGAACTTTGGAGACAAATTTTTGTGTGCTCTCAAGGCCATATATCAGCAACTATCGGCACAAATTATAATTAATGGGGGATTAACAGATGTATTTAAAATAGAAAAAGGTACGAGACAGGGTTGTCCCTTATCCTCCTTGCTATTTGTATTAACAATGGAGATTTTACTTATTAAAATTCGAGATTCATCTAGATTAAAAGGAATAAAAATAAGTAAGATTGATTATAGGCTGAGAGCTTTTGCTGATGATTTGGTTGTGATGTTATCCCATCCAACAGATTCGGTCAGAGACTTGGTTGAAATTTTAGCACAGTATGGACAGGTCTCTGGTTTTAAGGTGAATAAGAATAAAACTAAAATATTATTGAAAAATATGTCTATGAAGGGAAAAGATATTATAGTTGAAGCAACAGGTTATGAAGTAGTTAATAAGGTTAAGTATTTAGGAATATATATTACAACATCTAATGGAAAATTGTATAAGAATAATTATGAACGCTTATGGGTAAAAGTACAAAAAGATTTAAATGATTGGCAAAAATTACAATTATCATTACTGGGGAGAATTTCAGTAGTAAAGATGAATGTTCTACCAAAGTTTCTTTTTTTTGTTTCAGATGATACCTATTTTAAAAAAGGATGCTAATTTGGATGAGTGGCAGAAGGGTATCAATAAATTTATCTGGGGTGGGAAGAAATCAAGGGTAAAGTTTAAGATTTTACAAGACGCTCGAGAAAGAGGTGGACTTAAAGCACCTAATTTGAAATTATATTATGATGCGGCCACTTTAACTTTAGTAAGTGATTGGCTTAATGTAACAAATAAAAATATTCTTGTTCTTGAAGGTTGGGATTTATTATATGGTTGGCATGCATATTTAATTTTTGATAAGAAAGTAGATCTGGTTTTTAAGTCACACATTTTAAGAAATGCTTTACTTCGAGTCTGGAAGAAGTATTATTATAAATTAAATTATAAAATACCTATTTGGGGGATTCCTGGACAAGCAATTCAGGGGGTTTCTAAGGGGGTGAATTTTGATAATATTTTGTATAAAGAATTACTTATTTGGTCGGGTACTGATTGGCAACTAAAGTCTTCAGATGTGCTAAGGCAAGAAAATATTTTACAATCATGGTTTCAATATTTGCAAATAATGGAGAGGTTGACCTTGGATATTACTTTAGCAGATGAAAAATTGGTAATTCAGATTAAAGATCAGAAATATGCTCATATTAAAAGAATTTACAATGAGTTAATAAAATTGGATTCCGAAACAGAGTTAGTAAAAGATTGTATGATTAAATGGGCCCAGAATATTCAGGAACCGATTTCATTGGATTTATGGGAGGTAATTTAGATTAGAAATGTTAAATTTACGCAGGCTCAAAATTTGAGGGAAAATTTTTATAAAATGTTTTATAGATGGCATCTGGATCCTAAAAAGTTGTCTTGTATGTACCCGAACCTGCAGCCTAAATGTTGGAGATGTGGTTGCTTGGATGCAACCTATTTTCATGTTTGGTGGACTTGTAAAAATATTAAAGCCTTTTGGATTATGATTTGGTGGAATATTCAAAAGATTTTTAAAAGGAAGATTAAGTTTACTCCCCAGTTATTTCTTTTGGGTATTTCTGTGGATTTTGATGCTAAAGAAACTATTTTAATGTTGAATTTAATAACAGCAGCAAGATTATTGGTGGGTCAATATTGGAAGAAAGACTCTCTGCCTTCTTTAGAAGAATGGGTATTTAAGGTTTCTAATTTAGCAGAAATGGCTAAAATTTCTGCTTATTTAAAGGACCATTCACAAGAGAGATATGTTATTGTATGGACAAGATGGATAGAATATGTTCAGAAGAAATATGGAATTACAAAGTTTCATTTATTTTATGAGTAATGGATTTATTTATAAAATTATGATGTTAAAGTGTGAAGAGAGTTAAGGGTTAGTATGATTTTGGTTATTGTATAATTAGTAAACTTAAATAGATTATGTTTAATACGTTTGTATAACCCTGTACTTGGCTCTGGGAAGTCGGGGGTGGGGGTGGGGGGAGGATGGGTTGGAGGTTAAATAGCTCAGATAAGTAGAAATAGTTTTATTGTATATAATATTGATGTTTTAATTTGGAGAGAGGAATTGCTCGGGCATTTCCCCTGGACCACATCCGGACTGAGAAGATAGGAGGAAGGGGAGAAGTAAGTAGGAAGGTTGAGGAGAAGGAGGAGAGGGGGAGAGTGAGGAAGAAGAGGGAAAGAGGGAAGTGAGAGAAGAGGTTAGAGGGTGGATGCGGTTTGGGGGGAAATGGGTGAGCAATACCGAAAGTTGTGTGTATAAATTTATTTTACTCTTTATCTGAAGTATTTTTTATGAATGTAATGTAAAATTGAAAATAAATTTTTTTTTACAAAAAAAAAAACCCAGTGAAGATAAATATTGGGTAGAAGAAGAGGGAGGATTTCTCTAAGCTTTGCCTAAAAGAAACCCCATTTGAACACCCATTTGCAGCTAAATAAATCAGTCTGGGAAGCTTCACAGACCTCAACAGAAATGGAAATCCCTTTCATGCAAGAAGGTCTGGGAATGCACCTAATTATTTTTAGGAAACTCTCAGTGGCAGGAGAAGGAGGTAAAAGAAGCAGCACTCCATAATTCTTGGGGCAAAGCTGAGATTTTTCAACCAATTGGTGTGTCTAGGGCAGGGATAGGCAACCTTGACTCTTTTATGACTCATGGACTTCAACTCCCAGAATTCTAGGAGTTGAAGTCCATGAGTCATAAAAGAGCCAAGGTTGCCTATCCCTGGTCTAGAGCAATGATTTCAGCCTCAAAATGATAGCAATTACGATGCGATAGTTAAATTTGGTGGTGCTTTTGGAAAAGCAAAGGAGCCACAGGAACAGGAACAAAAACCAATAATCAAAGGTCACTGCAGAACTTATTTACTCAGTGTGCCCTGGAGGAATTCCCTTGAGAAAACAATGGGAAGGACTACTGCAGACAAAAGGATGCAATCATATTTATACATTTCAGGAAAAGAGGAGAAAATGATACGGTTATACATGCGCATAGACAATAGGTAATGTAAGCACTGATATCCATAATTAGCAAAACTCAAGTTACTTCTCCACTCTTCTACCATTACAATCCTCAAGAAAGAGCTTTTGTCACAATAAAGAAACAGCAATTAAGTTGCCATGGCAATTTTGATAAAGCAAACTGAGAACCAAGCACTTCAAGGTTGCCTCCATCAGCACCTTTCCTTCTGTGTTTTTCTCTTACTAATATCTTCTCCTAAAACTTGTTTTATTCACTGTCTGGGGGGCGGGGGGGGGATAGTCAAAAATTCAAGATGGCAACCACAATGGTGCACTCAAAGCTCCACCTGGTTGTTAAGTGCATCACATATGCAACACCCATAAAAACATGGGCAGAGAATTGA